GCAAAAAGAAAAAAGCCGGAAGTGGCACTGTGGCTCAATTGGTAGAGCGCTAGCCTTGAGCTGAAGAGCTGAGGGACAGCGCCCAGGCCCAGAGTACAGGCCCCACGACCAGACCCAAAACAAAACAAAAAAAGTTAGATGGAAAGGTGCTAGCATTGCCCAGAGGGTATCTGCTAACAGAGATACCAAGGAAGAAAAACAGTCAAAGAAGAGGGTTCAACTTTTGGTAGTAGCACCAGGACAGGTTTAAGAAACCCTTGGCGAAGACAGTATAATTCATTTGTAAATGGCAGTAGGGAACCTCTAGGACTAGACACCAGTGTGCTTATTGCAAGCAAAACAGACATTGGAAAAAGGAATGACTAAGGAGGAGAAAGATGGAATGATGGGTGAAGTAAGCACATTAGCAACCTGGAAACTGTGTTCATATCTCCTGAGAAACATGGACTCTGAAACCTAACCTTGTTGAACTTAACAAAAAATGTGAAGAAAAAATTCACACACTCCTGTCTGAAAATGCTGGCTTAATAAAGACTCTGAATCTCTAGTACATGCCCATCAAACCCACAGAGAGGTTAAAAGCGCATTGAACAGCACAGTGGAAAAAACCAAGAGAATTACCGGACATGAAGAAAAGATCTGAAGACATAAATCAGGAACTTGTAAGAGTCAAAGATGAGAATCAAAACGAACCTGGAAAACACTCAGAATCAAATGGAATCCAAGTACATCAGCCTGGGTGATCATGAGGCAAGCTGGGGCCACAGGCCGGAGGCTGAGGGAGGCACAGGACAGCATCGCTGCCGTCCTGGCTGACAGGCAAGGCCAGGAAGAGACCCTAACGCTGCACACAGACATCAAGGCCCAGAAGAAGGAGCTGGACATGATACAAGAAACGCCAACGATCAGCTTTGAAGAGTGGAAATTCAAAGCAACAGAGATGGCTAGCGGAGCAGGCACAGAAGTGCTATGTCAAGAAGAAGAGGCCAAAAAAAGTGGGCAGGAAAACAGGCTGAAGAAGGAGATCGTCACTCGAGAAAGAGTCAAAGGACACACAAGCTCGGATGGGGAATGCCCAGGGAACGGAAAGAGTCTTAGCCAGAAAAACAGAAGAGCTAAACGGTTGAAAGATCTGTCACAAAATACACTGAAGTGAAAAATGAGAAAGAGAAGCTACTAGAGTAAAAGGCCAAACAACTGCCAAGATCCTCACCATAACTGTAATGCAGAAGCTCCCAATGGAACAGGTGGAGGTAGAAAAAAAAATCCTCTCAATAACATGTTGAGAATGTAATGCAGGAGCTGAAGAGCAAGCAAAGGCGCTGTGCGAAGGAGCAGCGGTTGGACAGTTGAAGGAACTCTCCCGGGACCCTGGCAGAACACTTGCAGGTTAAGGAGGACTTTGAGAAGGAGATTGGGATCATGAAAGGGAGCTTGAAAGAAAGGGAGGAGAATAAAATGGAAGAAGTCTCCAAGCTCTGGACTGAGGTTCAGAGTACTAAACAGGAGTTAAAGAAACTAGAGTCACTAGATGCCAGTGGCTCACACCTGTCATCCTAGCTACTCAGGAGGCTGAGATCTGAGGATCACAGTTCTAAGCCAGCCTGAGCAGGAAGGTCCACGAGACGCTCATCTCTGATGAACCACCCAAAAACCAAAAGTGGTGCTGTGGCTCAAGTGGCAGAGTGCTCACCTTTGACCTGAAGAGCTGAGGGACAGTGCCAGGCCCAGAGTTCAGGCCCCACAACTAACAAAAAAACAAAAACAAAAACAACAACAATGAAACTAGAGACCCCAAAAGTTCAAGGAAAAAACTGAGCTGATCAGGTAGCTTGGGAGGCCACCCTAAAACCAGTGGGGCGTCGAGAGCTACTAGTCATTAATTAAAGGAAGAAGCATAAAAAAGTGGTGCTAAGTGTGCAAATGTGGAGAGTGCCCTTGTGAAAAATGGTTGCAGGCTCGAGCCTTCTGTCTGTTAAACCTGGCCATTTGTCTTGTCCCAGGCCACCGCCTACAATGGTCTTGGAAACCAGGGGCCTCAGCCTGACAAGCCTGTGTGACGCGTGTGGACAGGCGGCAGCAGGTAGCTGGGAAGCGGGCCGTGTGGAGGGGCGTGGGTGCCGGGAGCCTCACCTGGTGAGCTTCGGGAAGAGGCTTCACGCGTGGGGATCGCTCTCTGTGGGCACTGGTGGCACTTCCTAACAAGCACCGAGGCCGCTCAGGTAACGCGAATCCCTCGGCCGGCCTGCTGAGGGCGCAGAGCCCGGCCCAAGGCCTGAGGCCGCCAGACCTGGGAGGCTGGAAGCCGGGGCCACCCGGCCTGCTGAGGGCGCAGAGCCCCGGCCCGAGGTCGCGAGACCTGCGAGGCTGGAAGCCGAGGCCACCCGGCCTGCTGAGGGCGCAGAGCCCCGGCCCGAGGCCCGAGGCCGCCAGACCTGGGAGGCTGGAAGCCGGGGCCACCCCGCCTGCTGAGGGCGCAGAGCCCGGCCTGAGGCCCTAGGCCGCCAGACCTGGGAGGCTGGAAGCCG